GGGTCAATGGGATCAATGGGGTCAATGGGATCAATGGGATCAATGGGATCAATGAGGTCAATGGGGTCAATGGGGGCATTGGGGTCAATGGGATCAATGGTGTCAATGGGGTCAATGGGATCAATGGGGTCAATGGGGGCAATGGGATCAATGTGGTCATTGGGGTCAATGGGATCAATGGGATCAATGGGGTCAATGGGGTCAGTGGGGGCATTGGGGTCAGTGGGGACTTTGGGGTCAGTGGGGCCGTGGTGACGCTCCCCCTCAGGTACCGCACGGATGAGGTGGAGGTCACGTGGAGGGACTGACCTTTGAACTTTGAACTTTGAACTTTGAACTTTGACTCCCAATGAAGCTCGGCTTCCTCCCCCCCCTCCCTAATCCCAAATCCGCCTCCGTGTCGTCATTGGGGTCAATGTGGTCATTGGGGTCAATGGGATCAATGGGGGCAATGGGGTCAGTGGGGGCAATGGGATACGGGACTTGTGGGGGAATGGGGGGAGTTGGCCTCCCCATAGAGACACATAGAGACCATAGAGAACCATAGAGCCCCATAGGGACCCATAGAGACCCATAGAGACCCATAGAGACCATAGAGACCCATAGGAACCCATAGAGACCCATAGAGACACATAGAGACCCATAGAGAACCATAGAGCCCCATAGAGACCCATAGAGACCCATAGTGACCAATAGGAACCCATAGAGACCCCATAGAGACCCATAGAGACCCATAGGAACTCCATAAAGACCCATAGGGACCCATTGTGCCCCATAGAGACCCATAGAGATGAATAGGAACCCAGAGAGACCCATAGAGCTTCATAGGAACCCATAGAAATCCATAGAGAGCCATAGAGATCCTATAAACCCCATAGAGACCCATAGAGACCCCATAGAGCCCCATAGGGACCCATAGAGACCCATAGGAACTCCATAAAGACCCATAGGGACCCATTGTGCCCCATAGAGACTCATAGGGACACATAGAGACCCATAGAAACTCCATAGGGACACATAGGGACCCATAGAGTCCCATAGAGACCCATTTGGACCCATAGAGTCCCATAGAGACCCATTTGGACCCATAGAGACCCATAGAGACCCACAGAGATCCATAGGGACCCATAGAGACCCATAGGGCCCCATAGCGACCCATAGGGACCCCATAGAAACCCCATAGAGACCCATAGGGACCCATAGAGACCCACACAGACCCATAGAGCCCCATAGAGCTCCCATAGAGCCCCCATAGAGACCCACAGAGACCCATAGAAACCCCATAGAGACCCCATAGAGCCCCCATAGAGACCCATAGGGACCCATAGGGATCCGTAGAGACTGTTAGGGACACAGTGGGGGCGTGGTTATGCAAATGAGGCAGCACTTTGGCTACGACTGAGCCGTCCAATTGGGAGGGGTGGGCGTGGCCACGTCGATGACGTCACGACACGGAGGCGGAGCCAAAGGTCTTTATTGGACGCTGATTGGAGGGGCAGAGAAAGGGGCGTGGATTGGATCCCAGATGGGGCGTGGCTTCAAGCAGGGGGCGTGTCCCAACGCAGGATGTAGACCCGCCCCCCTTCGTCGCCCACAGCCAATCCGGGCGCGGCGTTGGGCGAGGGGCGTGGCCTCGTCGCCATGGCGGTGATGGGGGCGGAGCAACGGTAATGGGAGAGCTGCCGGAAGTGGAGGGGCGGGGCTTAGCGGGGCGGACCCGCCCACTTCCGGCCGGGTGGCAACGCCCCGCTTCGGTAGCTCCGCCCACCGCTCTGATTCCCATTGGGGACAATGGGGGCAACTGGTGGGCAATGGGGGGAACTGGGAGGAACTGGGGGGCAACTG